GTGTATATATCTATGCATATATATGTTTATATGTTTATATATGTATATGTATATATACATGTATATATTTGTGTGTGTGTATATATGTATATTTGTGTGTATATATGTGTGTATGTGAATATGTATATAATATAAATGTGAGTGCATGTACATACAGTATATACATATATATACATATGTGTGTTTGCGTTACACACACTTGTGTCTGAGTGTGGACGTGCGGGCGGGTGTGTGCGCATGAACACATTAGTTACCTTTCTGACACAGCGCAAAGCGTACAGCGAGGTTGCCTCCACACAGAAGCTGTTCCACGGAGACCTCCCCGGGGTCAGCTTCTTCAAGCGCGCGATGGCCTACTACCGGGAGAAGTTTGCCGGCGGCGTCGCGTTCATCGCTGCTTCGGACAGCCCACGCTTCATCAGGGCAACGCTGAGTCATAACCCAGACGTCTATTTCGCTCCAGGTTAGTGGTTAATGGCTAATGGCTAAAAAGCAAAGTAAATGTGCTCGACATCAAAGGTCATGTTGCACAGTAGGAAGGCATAGTATCAGAAAAGGTAGAGAGGGGCGGAATGGTTAGGTGCTATATGTCAACAGTCGTATAGCAGCTGGGTGGAATTGGAAGATTCAGCAGCAGGTGAGGAGACGCAGCCACTGTAAGTAGGATTAAATCCAGCATTTGTGGATCAACGCGTTAAATCACGTGTAAATCACAAGTATCCCATTACCTTTCAAGTTGTGCTTTAGTTAAATGTCATTTAGCCTTGCATTTCTATGTTTATGATAAAAAATATATATTCTCGTTTTTCCGATAGCGCTCTAGACTTTTTCTTGTGTACAAGTAACCCCCAAAACAGAGCAATTGGCTTATTAATGATAAATAGTCCAAGATAATGTACGCCAATGGTTTTACAGAACCAATGACTGGAGAGCCATCAGCCTTAAGCCTGTGAAACACATGCGAAATTCATTATGATTATAATTCATTGATTTTGTTTATTTACAGATAGCATTGCGAGAGCAAGAACTCAATTGCGAGTCCCTAACTGTTTACACTTTTCCTTGATATTTGAGAAAAAAGAATATTTTTCATTTGTTATTGCCATTAGCATTGGTGATAACGTTATAATAACCCACTGTCTACAATGATTATGGCAGTAATGATATTAATAACATTCGGAAACTTTCTTGGAAATTCAGGAATGGGGATATCAGGTGAGGTCAGGTTGGCTTCCTGGTGACAAAGCTATTGTGAGGCCATCATATTTATTTGGTTTATGACTAAGCAGTCATGAATGGTTTATTTATCCACACATAAGATTCCTCTATATTTACTGACGAAATTCAATCTTGAATTACAAAAGAATATGAAGTGAAGAGTTATACGTCCGAGCTAGATGTTACAGAGATTAAGGGCTAGAGATCATTAAAATGTATTTATCAGTTCTCAGTCTCTATACTATATTATAACAAAACGAAACAGCATTGGTGTACAAATGGAGAATATAACGTACATGTCGCATCACTCCCAGCACGATTGCAATAGGGGTCTACGTTGGACTGTAACTTTACTGAACTAGAGAAGTTATGGCGTAGCTTGGATTTTCAAGAATTCAAGATGGCCAACATCGCCAGTTCAGTTATACTGTACCTGGGTTCTGTGTCTAAATAAAAGAAATCGTGATCCACATTGACCTGATCAATACATGCAGTAGAGTATAAGGGTATAACCTATGACTAGGACTAGGATGCACCTGTCCAAGTCTTAAATTGTGCAAGTACTGTAGACTAAACAAGAGTTTGTTTTACGTTCTTAATAGCTGCACAGTTATCAGGTATCCACATGAAAAGTGACATGAGGGTAAAAGACCTCAACAGTCGACACTATGGCTGGTGTATTCTGCTAGCTGATTTAGCAATCCACGATAAAAAACGTGAATTGAAGTTGGAATTGTATGAAAATCTGCAGATCCACGGCAACACTATTTATAAGCCATGAAACTACAGAAAAAGCCACTATGACTGCAAATTCTAGGTGATTCCATACTTTCAGCAGCACAGTAATCTTCATTCCAAAATGGTTTGTTATTGACGACCTTCAATAACTGTCTATGCTTTACTTCATCACCTCAGAGACTGTAAATGTCTCCTATGCAGATAAGTTCCACAGGAGCTCAAATGAACTCGGATGTGCACATGAAGATATAAAGGTCATCAAGTGTTGATCTCTTCATGGAGGATTACCTACCAATATCCACACAAAGCACCACAAGTAGAAAAAATACGGCTATTCTCAAGCCACACATGTCAACTGTGATTTGAGAAGGGCAGATGGTTCGTCTCTTGTTGCTGCAAAAATCAGTTGTGCCACAAGTGCTTCCTGCTCTTCCTTGAAAGTTACTAACAATATAATCTGTCGTGGCCTATGTATAGTAAATGGTTTGGTTTAAGGATCTCATGGATAGTCCAGGCATCGGCTGCAATATTTCCCTGCCTCAGA